TGCACAAGATGCGGGGGAGTTGTTTACGCTCAGTCACTCTCGGAACCGACGACCTGCTGTTTGGTTGTGGTTGTCCGGACCCGGTGATCTACTCGCCGGACTGCGCCTCTGGACTCCGGCCCATTCATGGCTGGACTTCACTTGTCTGGGAGTCCCTTACCCATTCCTCATATTCTTACTCATTCAGCAATACATTAAATTATCTATGACAATCTGGCTTTCCACGCCTCATCATATCCACTAGCTTATATTCTTTGGGATACGTTCTATCGCCTATTATCTGGCTGGACCACATCGTATTCCACACTGTCATCGAACCAGAGGGGGAGGGGGCAATATCAAACAGTCGCTCTCGATGATATAAATGCAGTGAAATTATTGGAATTTTTCAGACGCCTTTGCCTTTCATTCGGGTCCAAGGGTTTTGACATCGAGGGAGTCACGAAGATAGTTGATTTCGTTAAGAAGTCATACTTGGGTTCGTAAAACACCCCTAACCCTTAATTAAGTGTGCTTCAGCGGAAGCAGAATTTAGACTAGAGTGGAAGAGCTTTCTAGATTTGGGATTTACTAGACCTATATAACAGTAAATATCTCAAACCCCAACAAAATGAGGACGAGGTAAACCTAGGTCACTTGAAGGACCGCATCATACCAATAAGCTTCGCGACATCAAACGATTTTACCTAGATACTCTCAACAACCTCCTTCGACCCAGACATCTCAGGGAAAACATGCTTTAAATCAACGTGTTTCGTTAAATTCGCACGTTAAACACATGGACTTCGAGGACTTATTCAGTGTGCCAACATGCATATGTCGTATAGACACCCGCCGTGCTGACCAAACCAGTACGATGGGTGCCAATCAGTTACCTCAGAGATTCTAGCTATTACCCTAAAGAAGTATCGCATACTTACTGGAGCCACGCAACTGTCAAACAATGCAGGCCTATAGAGCGAAAATAAATTATTCCGGAACCAAAAAGGTGTCCTGTTGGGAAACTGCTTTTTTACAGACTCGATATAGTCCTCCTGGGTTGTGTATTTGTCGCAAAGCCTCATTAAATCACTAACAGAATATGAGCTGACAACGAAAACGCAACTTTAACATGCGCCACGAGCCCTTAAGTTATGACCCTTCTTTGCCAATACCGCGACAGGGACTGTACCACTTAGGCACTGCCATACATCAAGAATGTGTCTGAAGCAACCGAAGGCATTGCCGCGGGACTAGGCGTCGGAATTGCACACCGTCCCAAGGCTACAAT